ATACTACGGCTTATTTATCTATCACATATAGTCGGACTTGAGTCCTGGAAATGGGAAGTACAATGCCTGCACTTTAAAGGAGGGGTTTGGGATATTGGCAGTTTGGAGGGATATGTTGTGTATCTTTATATGTGTATGCTTCTAAACTGTTGTATTCTGAGCACCTCTGCAAAAACAGTGATAATGTGTGAGTGAGGTGAAAGTGTTGAATGATGATGAAAGTATTTTCTTTTTGGGGATTTTCTTTCTTTTTTGGGTCACCCTGCCTCGGTGGGAGACGGCCGACTTGTTGAAAAAAAAAAAAAAAAATTATCATTTATCTATCTATTCTGTCTCATAAACATGCTAGATAACAGGGATATCTTGCTACTCCTACTTACACTTTGGTCACACTTCACAGACACGCACATGCATATATATATACATGCATCTAGGTTTTTCTCCTTTTTCTAAATAGCTCTTGTTCTTCTTTATTTCTTCTATTGTCCATGGGGAAGTGGAAAAGAATCTTTCCTCCATAAGCCATGCTTGTCGTATGAGGCGACTAAAATGCCGGGAGCAATGGGCTAGTAATAACTTCTCCTGTACACATTTATTAAAAAAGAAGAAGAAAAACTTTATAAAACTGGGATGCTTGAATGTGCGTGGATGCAGTGCGGATGACAAGAAACAGATGATTGCTGATGTTATGAATGAAAAGAAGTTGGATGTCCTGGCCCTAAGTGAAACAAAGCTGAAGGGGGTAGGGGAGTTTCGGTGGGGGGAAATAAATGGGATTAAATCTGGAGTATCTAAGAGAGTTAGAGCAAAGGAAGGGGTAGCAGTAATATTGAAGGATCAGTTATGGAAGGAGAAAAGAGAATATGAATGTGTAAATTAAAGAATTATGTGGATTAAAGTAAAGGTTGGATGCGAAAAGTGGGTCATAATAAGCGTGTATGCACCTGGAGAAGAGAGGAATGTAGAGAGAGAGAGATTTTGGGAGATGTTAAGTGAATGTATAGGAGCCTTTGAACCAAGTGAGAGAGTAATTGTGGTAGGGGACCTGAATGCTAAAGTAGGAGAAACTTTTAGAGAGGGTGTGGTAGGTCAGTTTGGGGTGCCAGGTGTAAATGATAATGGGAGCCCTTTGATTGAACTTTGTAAAGAAAGGGGTTTAGTTATAGGTAATACATTAAGAAAAAGAGGATAAATAAGTATACAAGATATGATGTAGGGCGAAATGACAGTAGTTTGTTGGATTATGTATTGGTAGATAAAAGACTGTTGAGTAGACATCAGGATGCACATGTTTATAGAGGGGCCACAGATATATCAGATCACTTTCTAGTTGTAGCTACACTGAGAGTAAAAGGTAGATGGGATACAAGGAGAATAGAAGCATCAGGGAAGAGAGAGGTGAATGTTTATAAACTAAAAGAGGAGGCAGCTAGGGTAAGATATAAACAGCTATTGGAGGATAGATGGGCTAATGAGAGCATAGGCAATGGGGTCGAAGAGGTATGGGGTAGGTTTAAAAATGTAGTGTTACAGTGTTCAGCAGAAGTTTGTGGTTACAGGAAAGTGGGTGCGGGAGGGAAGAGGAGCGATTGGTGGAATGATGATGTAAAGAGAGTAGTAAGGGAGAAAAAGTTAGCATATGAGAAGTTTTTACAAAGTAGAAGTGATGCAAGGAGGGAAGAGTATATGGAGAAAAAGAGAGAGGTTAAGAGAGTGGTGAAGCAATGTAAAAAGAGAGCATGGGTGAGATGTTATCAACAAATTTTGTTGAAAATAAGAAAAAGTTTTGGAGTGAGATTAACAAGTTAAGGAAGCCTAGAGAACAAATGGATTTGTCAGTTAAAAATAGGAGAGGAGAGTTATTAAATGGAGAGTTAGAGGTATTGGGAAGATGGAGGGAATATTTTGAAGAATTGTTAAATGTTGATGAAGATAGGGAAGCTGTGATTTCGTGTATAGGGCAAGGAGGAATAACATCTTGTAGGAGTGAGGAAGAGCCAGTTGTGAGTGTGGGGGAAGTTCATGAGGCAGTAGGTAAAATGAAAGGGGGTAAGGCAGCCGGGATTGATGGGATAAAGATAGAAATGTTAAAAGCAGGTGGGGATATAGTTTTGGAGTGGTTGGTGCAATTATTTAATAAATGTATGGAAGAGGGTAAGGTACCTAGGGATTGGCAGAGAGCATGCATAGTTCCTTTGTATAAAGGCAAAGGGGACAGAAGAGAGTGCAAAAATTATAGGGGGATAAGTCTGTTGAGTATACCTGGTAAAGTGTATGGTAGAGTTATTATTGAAAGAATTAAGAGTAAGACGGAGAATAGGATAGCAGATGAACAAGGAGGCTTTAGGAAAGGTAGGGGGTGTGTGAACCAGGTGTTTACAGTGAAACATGTAAGTGAACAGTATTTAGATAAGGCTAAAGAGGTCTTTGTGGCATTTATGGATTTGGAAAAGGCGTATGACAGGGTGGATAGGGGGGCAATGTGGCAGATGTTGCAGGTGTATGGTGTAGGAGGTAGGTTACTGAAAGCAGTGAAGAGTTTTTACGAGGATAGTGAGGCTCAAGTTAGAGTATGTAGGAAAGAGGGAAATTATTTCCCAGTAAAAGTAGGCCTTAGACAAGGATGTGTGATGTCACCGTGGTTGTTTAATATATTTATAGATGGAGTTGTAAGAGAAGTAAATGCGAGGGTCTTGGCAAGAGGCGTGGAGCTAAAAGATAAAGAATCACACATAAAGTGGGAGTTGTCACAGTTGCTCTTTGCTGATGACACTGTGCTCTTGGGAGATTCTGAAGAGAAGTTGCAGAGATTGGTGGATGAATTTGGTAGGGTGTGCAAAAGAAGAAAATTAAAAGTGAATACAGGAAAGAGAAGGTAATGAGGATAACAAAAAGATTAGGTGATGAAAGATTGGATATCAGATTGGAGGGAGAGAGTATGGAGGAGGTGAATGTATTCAGATATTTGGGAGTGGACGTGTCAGCGGATGGGTCTATGAAAGATGAGGTGAATCATAGAATTAATGAGGGGAAAAGGGTGAGTGGTGCACTTAGGAGTCTGTGGAGACAAAGAACTTTGTCCTTGGAGGCAAAGAGGGGAATGTATGAGAGTATAGTTTTACCAACGCTTTTATATGGGTGTGAAGCATGGGTGATGAATGTTGCAGTGAGGAGAAGGCTGGAGGCAGTGGAGATGTCATGTCTGAGAGCAATGTGTGGTGTGAATATAATGCAGAGAATTCGTAGTTTGGAAGTTAGGAGGAGGTGCGGGATTACCAAAACTGTTGTCCAGAGGGCTGAGGAAGGGTTGTTGAGGTGGTTCGGACATGTAGAGAGAATGGAGCAAAACAGAGTGACTTCAAGAGTGTATCAGTCTGTAGTGGAAGGAAGGCGGGGTAGGGGTCGGCCTAGGAAAGGTTGGAGGGAGGGGGTAAAGGAGGTTTTGTGTGCGAGGGGCTTGGACTTCCAGCAGGCATGCGTGAGCGTGTTTGATAGGAGTGAATGGAGACAAATGGTTTTTAATACTTGACGTGCTGTTGGAGTGTGAGCAAAGTAACATTTATGAAGGGGTTCAGGAAAATCGGCAGGCCGGACTTGAGTCCTGGAGATGGGAAGTACAGTGCCTGCACTCTGAAGGAGGGGCGTTAATGTTGCAGTTTAAAAACTGTAGTGTAAAGCACCCTTCTGGCAAGACAGTGATTGAGTGAATGATGGTGAAAGTTTTTCTTTTTCGGGCCACCCTGCCTTGGTGGGAATCGGCCAGTGTTATAATAATAATAAAAAAAAAAAAATCTAATATGACATAATAAACAATATTAATAACATAGAAACATGACATATACTCGAGAATGAATAAAATACCTCATTATGTCACAAGTGTTGCTGTGTTGGTGTTGTTGGGTGTATAAGCGCCACCGAGACATAAGCCTTACATAGTGGAGGTGGTAGAGACAGCGGTGTTGTCAGTCGCCCTATATAACTCCAACAACACTGGAGGAGTCAGGTTGGTGCTGTCCTTTTTCTAACGATAATTGCTTAACTTACTTGCTACACTATTAATGCTACACTTTATCACTGGCTGGCACTACAGCCTTTATCGACTCATGCTGCTTTAGTATCATACATATTGTAGAATCACTGAAGGTGGTGCATTTTCCCCTCTCTCTCCCTCCTTCACTTTGGTACTCTGCTACAAATTCTTTCTATAGTCTTTCTCACCTTCTTTACCTAAGGGCCAGCACTAGTACAATATTTTACGATGTTTTCATATGTTTTATGATTGTTCATGGTTCAATAGGTTAAGGAAGCAGCATTGTTAGGCTAAGTAAATGCTGATAAATTAGACACATGTGCAACTCTTGGGTATCTTTATTCAGGAAACGTTTTGCCACACAGTGGCTTCATCAGTCCATACAAGGAGAATCTTGAAGAACAGGAGGAGAATGAGGTAATCAGTCCCTCAACCTTGAGTCGATGTGGTCAGTCCATCAATCTATTAAAGATTGATGGACTGACCACATCGACTCAAGGTTGAGGGACTGATTACCTCATTCTCCTCCTGTTCTTCAAGATTCTCCTTTGTATGGACTGATGAAGCCACTGTGTGGCAAAACGTTTCCTCAATAAAGATACCCAAGAGTTGCACATGTGTCTAATTTATCAACATGTCGGTTCTCTGAACCATTCATCTATAAGTAAATGCTATTATATTTCCCTACAATATATTTGGGCACCAAACATTTGCAATATTTCAACATTCGCGAGGTTCTTGATCCCCTAACCCTCATGAATATGGAGGGAGACCTGTAGTATGAATAAAAGACGAACCATGGTTGTATATTAATAAAACACTAAACCCATAGGGGCCATACAACATATGTAATGGGAGGAACTAGTAATCAGGCTCAAATTCCTTGGATCGAAAGCCTTTCACTGGCATCATCGCAGGTTTAGTTTTTCAAGCAAACCTCAGTACCAGTAAGTTAGGGGTTAAAAACGAATTAGCAATTAAAAGAATTTATAACAAGTAAAAACTTCAAATAGTGTAATAAATTCAGCAAGTAAAAATGAATATTGCACAAATGTGTACATAATTTCATTTATATATATATTTTATATAATATATATATACACCTACCATCCAACTTACGACCGAGTTCGGTTCCGAGAAACCGGTCATGAGTCGAAATGGTCGTAAGTCGAACTTTACTACTGAATATCAACAAGACATTTTTGTAATGACTATTTTATTGTTTTATTTTGGTATTTCATGTTTTACTTTACTTTTTATGCTGTAAGTACTGTATTTTATACTGTAAGGTTTAGGATAAACACTGTGTACAACACAAATAGTTGTTTATTTCCCAGAAATTTGGCATAAAAAACATGGTCGTAAGTCGAGCAGGTCGTAAGTCGGATGGTAGGTAGGTAGGTATATATATATATATATTGTGTGTGTGAGTGAGATTTATTTATGTAAACTGGAATATATAAAAAAAAAGTCATATTTGGTCAAGAAAATATGTATATAAACTTTGATGGGCATTGTTTCATAATGCACCTCATACAATACCAGCAACTACAGTACAACTTCAAGATTATCTCATGCTACTTATTTCAAACTATCACCTCTGCATTTCTTAACCTGAAAATTATCTAAGTTGCTCTCCCATTGTGTTCTAATCATAAAATTGTGGGTGGCATATGTAGGATGATAGAATTTGGCATGTACATTTTCTGCTTGGAGTGACATCTGAACTGTTCTATGCTGTATAGTCCTTGTGGCTTAGCGCTTCTTTTTGATTATTATAATAATGAACTGTTCTATCTGCGTGCCTCTGCAAAGACAGTGATTGTGTGAATGATACTGAAAGTTTTTCTTATTTGGGTCACCCTGCCTTGGTGAGAGGAGGACATGTTAAAAAAAAATTCTTTGATTAGCAAATTATAATAAAAAAGCAGCACTAAAATTGACTAGAAAGCTACTCTGGTCAAATGTACATTGACCACAAATGCACAAACCTCTCTAACCCAACACATTTTTGTTTACCAGCAGCAGAGATTAGATGCAATTTTTGATCTTATATTTGTAAGAGCATAAAGTTTTAATTATATTATGGATTCTGAAGTCCATTATTCTTTACTGAACCAATACTACACTGATTTCAGTACCGAAGAAGTTATAACTGGTACTCTTAGCACATGGTCAAGATACCAATTTCCTGTTGCTTAAAAATGTGTAGACTAAACATTCATGCCAGTTCCATGTACATTCTCCACTCTAATGAAGTTATGCTAAATATTCAATGGATCAGATTATTATTATTATAATCAAAAAAGAAGTGCTAAGCCACAAGGGCTATACAGCACAATGGATCAGAAGTACCTCCACCTCAGATGTATGCTAAATATTCACTCCAGTTCAAAGTACCTCCTCAAAGCACAGTGATGAAGACAAACATTTGCATATAGGATAGCTGATGATGCAGAGTTATCTTCAACTTCAGATGTATACAATGTACTAATTTTAAGAGAGCAGTGACCACAGTGTTGGGTAAATTTTTTTTTTTTTTTTTTTTTTTAAGTGCTGAAAATATAATTAGAAACATGCACATCTCAAATTTCTCCTTACCCTGACCAATCTTGAGTCAATGAGGTTGTACTGTATGGCATAAAGTATATTTAGACATATACCGTGTTATTACATCATTGAGACGCCTAAATATAATTTTTATTCATGTAATTATACCACATCCTTCTTATCACATAGCTCTATCAGCTTATTTCCCAGTACATGTTCTTTTTCATTATATCTAGTAAGGCTTTTTGAAAATGAATGAAGTGATCATCTTCAGAGCAGGTGCTGGCTTGTCTTCAGGAACCATGTGACCAGCTCCTCGAACAGTCAATAAATCAAGGTTTTGGAAACGCTTCACAAATCCTCCAACTTGTCCACCTTGATGCCACATCTTACGTCCTTCCAGTACCTATGGAGAGAACATATTTTCATCAAGATTTTTTCAAATGTTACCCAACTTCCACTCCTACAGCAAATTTAAACGAGATAATATCTCACTTTGCTTGGTACTCTAATTCCTGTTTGAATTTGCCTGTTGTTGCAAATTCATTTGATTAACACTTATGTGGTATTGCAACATTTGGGTAATTGATATCAATGTTGAGGAAATCTTTCATCCCCCAAATCATCATTGCTTCTTAATGCAAGCAGGGGTGATCAAAGGGTGATTTTTTTTTAATAAAACATTTAGAGTATGCCTTCAGTAGTCTGAAACCAGGAAGTGATTAGGATATCCTGAAATATTCTGCATACTGTTACTCTTTCAAGAAAGCAGCTTCCAGGAGAAACTGCTTTCTTGAAAGCAGATGAGAAGTTGCAAAAGAACTGATGAAGAAAAATAGGTGGGTGGTACAATGAAGCATCTGTGGAGACAAAGAACATTATCCATAGAGGTAAAGAAGGTAATGTATGAGAGTATAGTGGTACCAACACTTATATGGGTGTGAAGCTTGAGTTGTGAATGTTGCAGCAAAGAGGAGGCTGATATATCTAACAGTACAGCATGGTGTGGACTGAGATGTTTATGCAACATATGGGAATCTTTATTAAGGAAACATTTTGCCACACAGTGGCTTCATCAGTCCAACATCAAGCAGAAAGGGGCAAGGAGAGGAGTAGTTTGATGTAATCAGTCCCTCAGTTTGGAATCAATGTGTTCAATCCATCACTCTTTTAGAAAGTACAGTATATTGCCAGAGGAGGTGGGATCACAGTGGAACCATCCACTAGTGTAAGTAGGCCTTCGTCCAAAGGTTGGACAAGTATTGAAGAATTCCTCGTATGGAGATCCTATGATGTTGCAGTGTTTGACACACATGATAAATGGTTTTCAAAACCCACAAGCTGAAGATTGAAACACTTATGCAACATATGGGAATCTTTATTAAGGAAACATTTCCTTCATAAAGATTCCCATATGTTGCGTAAGTGTTTCAATCTTCAACCTGTTGGTTTTCAAAACCATTTATGAGAGTGGTGTGAGTATTATGTAGAGAATTCAAAGCTTTGAGATTAGGAAAAAGTGCAGTTACTAAAAAGTATTATCCAGAGGGCTGAGGAGAGGTTGTTCAGGTAGTGACAATTAGAGAGGATAGAGAAAAAAAAGCACACAATCACTTCAATTCTAAATAATTTTAACAGATATTTCTTTTCTAAACACTGGCTGTCTCCCAACGAGGCAGAGAGACCCGAAAAAGAAACACTTTCGCCATAATTCACATTGTCACTGTCTTGCCACAGGCACACAGATACAACAGTTTATTTGTCACCAAAAAACAAAAAAACCTGTACTTCCTACCTCTGGGACTCAAGTCCAGCTAACAGATTATTAAATTATTAACACATCGGCCAATTCCCACCAAGGCACGGTGGCCCGAAAGAGAAAAACTTACATAATCATTCACTCCATCACTGTCTTGCCAGAGGGGTGCTTTACACTACAGTTATAAAACTGCAACATTAACACTCCTCCTTCAGAATGAAGACACTGTATTTCCCATCTCCAGGACTCGAGTCTGGCCTGCCAGTTTCCCTGAATCCCTTCATAAATGTTACTTTGCTCAAACCCCAACAGCACATCAAGTATTAAAAACCATTTGTCTCCATTCACTCCTATCAAATACCCTCACGCATGCTTGCTGGAAGTCCAAGCCCCTCGCACACACAACCTCCTTTACCCCTTCCCTCCAACCTTTCCTAGGCCGACCCCTACCCTGCCTTCCCTCCACTACAAATTTATACACTCGAAGTCTCTGCATTATATTCACACCACACGCTGCCCTCAGACATGACATCTCCACTGCCTCCAGCCTTCTCCTCGTTGCAACATTCATCACCCATGCTTCACACCCACATAAGTGTGTTGGTATAACTACTGTATACTCACATTCCCCTCTTTGCTTCCACGGACAAAGTTCTTTGTCTCCACAGATTCCTAAATGCACCACTCACCCTTTTTTCCTCATCAATTCTATTATTCACCTCATCCTTCATAGACCCATCTGCTGACACATCCACTCCCAAATATCTGAATACATTCACCACCTCCATACTCTCTCCTTCCAATCTGATTTCCAATCTTTCGTCACCTAATCTTTTTGTCCTCATCGCCTTACTCTTTTCTATATTCACTTCTAACTTCCTTCTTTTACATACCCTACCAAATTCATCCACCAACCTCTGCAACTTCTCTTCAGAATCTCCCAAAAGCAGTGTCATCAGCAAAGAGCAACTGAGACAACTCCCACTTTGTGTTTGATTCTTTATCTTTTAACTCCACACTTCTTGCCAAGACCCTCACATTATGTGATATGATATGACAGATATGAAGTAATAAGTCAACTTACCTTTAATCCAAGACTCTCCACAAACCATTCATCCCCCAAGAAATTGCAGGCCATATCAATATCTCCATTGTAAATAAGACCACGCACTTGTGGTGTCAAAAACTCATACTGGGGCCTCATTGTGTCATACTCACGCTTGTAGTTGGCATTCACTTCATCACTAAAAGATATAAAGCAATCTAATTGTAATATATCTTCTACAGTCACATACTTAATAAGCTACATCATAATCATATCTGGTACATAATATAGCACTGTATTAGATACCCAATCTATTCAGAATAACTTAGAATTTGAAGGTACTTGAATTAGTTTTAATAAGATTTTACTATTCATCTATTAAACCAAACAAAAAAGACAAATATAGATCAATAATGTACAGTAGACAATCATAAATCGCATATCATAGCTTATATTTTCACCATTCAGTGATTTAAATTTAGTTTTTCGTTTTCAATAGTAGCTAACCATGACCATTAATGCTCACTGGGTTGGAATTAATGGATCACATTACTTTACAGTGCATCTCTCCACCCCTTGGGCAAAGCTGTTGTTTTGCTGTAAGGAAGGCACAATAGCATCACTGCTGGTAAACAAACTAGTTGATAGTCTTTATACATATACCATACAATAGTCTGTGTGTGTTTATCCTTTACTTTTCATTAATATCATTTTACTTCATCTCTGGATATTAATCACAGCACCCAAAAGAAATAAAAGTGATGCTGGAGGTGCCAAGAACACAATTAGGCATGAAACATAATTTCTAAGAGAATTGTTAAAAGTGGGAGGTAGTGGTGGTTATGGCTGTTAGGTTACTCACATGGCTAGTTTAACACATGGAAGTTGAAAACATCTACAGACGAGTCAGGGATGTCAGGAAGTATTTCTTCAGTCTCGGGGTGGTCAAGTGGAATGACCTCAATGGAGTGGTGAGGGCAGACTCCATACAGTGTTAAGAATAGGCACAACAGGACCCACAAGAGTGTGAATCTGGCAAGTGGCAAGTTGAGAGGCAGGGCCAGAAGCTAGGACTCAACCCCTGCAACCACATATAGGTGTACACACATTTACACTAGTTACACATTCTAAGATAAGATTTTGCTCGGATTTCTAACCCTGGAGGGTTAACCACCCAGGATAACCCAAGAAAGGCAGTGCATCATTGAAGGACTGTCTGTCTTATTGCCATTGGGGTCCTCAATCTTGTCCCCAGGATGCAACCCACACCAGTCAACTAACACCCAGGTACCTAGTTGCTAGGTGAACAGGACAACAGGTGTAAGGAAACACATCCAGTGTTTCCACTCCTGCCAGGAATCGAACCTGGACCCTCAGCATGTGAAATTGCATTTATATAACTGTTGAATATGTTGGCAATTGATAATAAAGTGTAGAAATGTTATTAAAAATAAAATTGTATAGTACTTATGATGTAGCAAAGACAAAGGTCATAGGTGAAGGCCAAAGTCAGCCATTTTGGCCGATAAGAACCACATGAGCTGTATCCCCACATTAATGTTGTGACAGGGAGCAAGGTATGATAAAACTCTTTCTTGTCACTATTTCAAACAAGAATGTGCAACTCAATAAATATATGATGTTGTGAGTGGTGGTGGTGGTTGTGAGGGTCATTCATGCTCATGCTTCCCACTTTCTATGGAAGGAATATGCTGTATCCAGTTTATAAGATCTAGTGAATTAAAAAAGGCACTGGTTACCTGGAATATACCTGAAGGGTATTCCGAGAGTCGACGCCCCTGTGGCCCGGTCCATGACCAGACCTCACAGTGGATTGGCCTGATCAACCAGGCTGTTACTGCTGGCCACACTCAAACCAACATACAAACCACAGCCCAGCTGGTCAGGTACTGACTTTAGGTGTCTGTCCAGTTACCTCCCTTATTTATGCTGGGAGGCAGTTGAACAGTCTTGAACCTCTGACATTTATTGTGTTGTCTCTTAGCACACTCCTGGCATCCCTGCTTTTCACTTAGTGGATGTTACATCACCTGCTGAATCTTTTACTTTCATAGGGAGTGATTTCCATGTGCAGATTTGGGACTAGTCTCTCTTATGATTTTCCAAGTGTATATTATCATGTCTCTCTCGCCTGCATTCCAGGGGATTTCGAATGTTCCCAGTAATTTTGGTGCCTTATGGTACTTATATGTGCGATGAAAGTTCACTGTATATTTTCCAGGTCTACGATTTGGCCTGCTTTGAAAGGGGCCATTACTGTACAGCAATATTCCAGCAGAGAGAGAACAAGTGCTTTGAAGAGAATCATCACTGGCTTAGTATCCCTAGTTCTGAAGGTTCTCATTATCCATCCTATAATTTTCCCAAGCAGATGTAGTAGACACATTATTGTGTTCTTTGAAAGTGAGATTCTCTGACATTACTACTCCCATGTCCTTCACATTAGTGGTTTTGCTCTATTGTGTGGTTGAAATTTATTCTGTACACATATCCTGTTTTTATTTCCTCAAGTTTTCCATTGTGGAGTAACTGAAGTTTGTCTTCACTGAACTTCATATTGTTTTCTGACACCCATTTAACCCTTTCATTGCCCAGACCCGCAATGTCCAAGAATTTTCAATTTTTTTTTCTTATGAAATAGTAGAGAATATTTTTCTGAAGGTAATAAAACAAAAAGTAAGAAATTGGGTGGAAAATTGACAAAATTATGCTTTTGCAAATTTTGCTGCATCAGTGGTATTTAAGAGTTGTTTTTTTCATAACATTATTGGGATAGCATCCTTTTCCTCATATCTGACACACAGAAAGAGATGTGAGCCACAGCACAATGTCCTCCTTTGCTGATGATACCAGAATTCGAGGACACTGCAAATCTTCAAGCAGACATTAACCAAGTCTTCAATCGTTTCACTGACTGTGCTGTAGTACTGCGGCTTTAAGGTTGCTGTCAGTGCCGTAGTACTATGCCATGTGCTCAGCTCACTCATAAACTGTGAGCAGTAACTCTGGGCCTAGGTATGAGAGAATGGATCTATGATATGTGTGCACCATATACTAAAAAAAATCCTGCAGCATGCAGTGCATCAGAAAAAACTGCGACCATATTTTTGGTTGAAAACAGTGACTTTGCAGTGTATTTTTGTATTGTTTTTTAAAGTTGTATTCTCAATTTCTTGGTCCCATTTGATAGAATGGAAGATATATTACAGAAATAAGATGATTTTGATTGGTTTTAGGACAGAAAGTAGCTTGAAACTGAGCTCAAAATAACGATAATGCTCGATTTTGCCTATGTTTGAGTAAAAAAATCACATCACACATCCAATACACGTCAGCTGGTGGGTCTAATGTGCGTTCACGAATGCGCTGATATTATTTATACAATTATTACAATACAGTGGACCCCCGCATACCGTTGGCATCACATAACGTTAAATCCACATACCGATACATTTTACCGCTAAGATTTTGCCTCGCATACCTCTAAAAGACCCGCTCAACGCTATTCGTCCGAGACACGTCTAATGTGTGGCCTGAGCCAGCCTCACGTTTCGCGGGTGGCATTGTTTACCAGCCAGCCTCCGCGGTAACATCCAAGCATACAATCGGAACATTTCGTATTATTAAAGCGTTTTTGGTGATTTTATCTGCAAAATAAGTGACCATGGGCCCCAAGAAAGCTTCTAGTGCCAACCCTACAGGAATAAGGGTGAGAATTACTATAGAGATGAAGAAAGAGATCATTGCTAAGTATGAAAGTGGAGTACATGTCTCCGAGCTGGCCAGGTTGTATAGTAAACCCCAATCAACCATCGCTACTATTGTGTCCAAGAAAACGGCAATCAAGGAAGTTGTTCTTGCCAAAGGTTCAACTGTGTTTTCGAAACAGAGATCGCAAGTGATAGAAGATGTTGAGAGACTCTTATTGGTGTGGATAAACGAAAAACAGATAGCAGGAGATAGCATCTCTCAAGCGATAATAAGTGAAAAGGCTAGGAAGTTGCATCAGGATTTAATTAAAAAAATGCCTGCAACTAGTGATGATGTGAGTGAATTTAAGGCCAGCAAAGGTTGGTTTGAGAGATTTAAGAAGCGTAGTGGCATACATAGTGTGATAAGGCATGGTGAGACTGCCAGTTCGGACCACAAAGCAGCTGAAAAATATGTGCAGGAATTCAAGGAGTACATAGATAGTGAAGGACTGAAACCTGAACAAGTGTTTGTGATGAAACAGGCCTGTTTTGGAAGAAAATGCCAAGCAGGACCTACATTACTCAGGAGGAAAAGGCACTCCCAGGACATAAGCCTATGAAAGACAGGGTTACTCTTCTCATGTGTGCCAATGCTAGTGGTGATTGCAAAGTGAAGCCTTTATTAGTGTATCACTCTGAAACTCCCAGAGCATTCAAGCAAAAGAATATCCTCAAGGCTAATTTGTGTGTGCTGTGGAGGGCAAACAGTAAGGCATGGGTCACTAGGGACTTTTTCTATGACTGGTTACACCAAGCATTTGCCCCCAATGTGAAAAATTACCTAACTGAAAAGAAATTAGACCTTAAATGCCTCCTGGTGTTAGACAATGCCCCTGGTCATCCTACAGACTTGGCAGAGCGACTTTGTGGGGACATGAACTTCATTAAGGTAAAGTTTTTGCCTCCTAATACCACTCCTCTCCTGCAGCCCATGGACCAGCAGGTTATTGCAAACTTCAAAAAACTGTACACAAAAGCTCTGTTTGAAAGGTGCTTTGTAGTGACCTCAGAAACTCAACTGACTCTAAGAGAGTTTTGGAGAGACCACTTTAATATCCTCAATTGTGTAAACCTTATAGGTAAGGCTTGGGAGGGAGTGGCTAAGAGGACCTTGAACTCTGGAAGAAACTGTGGCCAGAATGTGTAGACCAAAGGGATTTTGAAGGGTTTGAGGCTAACCCTGGGAATCCTATGCCAGTTGAGGAATCCATTGTGGCACTGGGAAAGTCCTTAGGGTTGGAGGTTACTGGGGATGTGGAAGAGTTGGTGGAGGAGGACAATGAAGAACTAACCACTGAGGAGCTGCTAGATCATCTTCATCAGCATGAGGCCACACCTGAGGAAACTGCTTCGGAGGAGGGGAGAGAGAAATTGAAGAAGTTGCCTACTTCAAAGATTAAGGAAATCTGTGCAATGTGGCTTAAAG